GCAGCAATCACAGAGGAGCTGAACCACTGACTGTATATAAGAAACATACACTCATTGGTTGGAACATGCAGACACTGTTGCTCTCGCTGGATGTCGGTGATGTAAATAGGAATCTGTTTATTCTGTGGGAATGGCGTGATTTTCATGGTCAGGCTCTGCGTCCACATGATGAAAACCATGTAACTGAATTATTGGAAATAAATGCTTTGTTTTATTTTGTCACAGGGTCAAATTAGAGCAAATAAGGGCTGCTGCGGTTGGTTCGAGAGCTCATTTGGTTATTAGAGCCTTCTGCAATGGAAGTATTGCAAAAAACAGTATTACGAGAACTATTAACAAACTGAATATTGTGTGGCTCTGACTTCTACACAATCCCTCTAACGCCACCCCTGACCATTGAGCAAGTGGTCTGTCTGTTTAGCTCAGGGGTCGGCAACATGCGGTTCTTTTACTGCCCTGTTGCGGCTCCACAGCAGAATTAGATTAGTAGGTAATAATAAAATAATCCTCCTTTACAGTAAAATAAAGCTCTGCTGATCGTTCAACATAGTTTAGCAATAAATGGTCTTAAACTCTGGAGTTAATGTAGAACTGCTAATTCACCCTTTAACCCTGAAGATCAGCGCAGACTGCTGGTCACCATAGCAATGACGAGTCTTGCCTAGCTAGTTAGTTAACCAAAAAGTGAGAGATTTAAGATGAATATTGATAATTTGGAGATGAATGGTCTTATTTGCATGTATAATCAGTCCAGCTGATCTCCTGATACGTTTAATCTGCAACGAGAAAATGTCAAACACAAAAGAGTCGTGAAGTTGAAGTCCCGTTCCACCTTAAATGGTGCAGCTGTTACATTCTGGCGCCTCAGGCACCATTTACAGTGGAACTGGGAAATTCGAACAAGAAGCTGGCGAATGAGAAGCGACTTCAGCCTCATAAAAAGTTGCACGTTTAGAGACATTTTACAAGAAACTGTTCTACTATTGAGGAAAAGTTTCCTGCTGGAGATGCGAGAAAAGTGGCTATAGCTGAGCTAAAATTTAAAGCAGAGCAAAGTAAATCTGCGTTTTTGTTTATATTATATATTTTTTTTTCTGCACTAGTACATCAGCACATAGTGAGACATATTTACAGCCAAGATGGTAAAATGGACATAAATTGTTGTGGGTCCCAAAGTGGTTTGAAAGGACAAAATGGCTCTTATTAACATTTAGGTTGCCGACCCCTGGTTTAGACATTAGTTTGAGGTATTCACTGGAAATTCAGTAGTACACTGGGTTAAATACTAGATGTTCAGCTTTTCCAGTTGTCAGTAGAAGCAGACACGAGATAAAAATAAAGTGAATGGATGTCTTATTCAGGCCTCGCTGCGCTGGCAGTTGTTCAGGATTGCAGAATATCAGCTGCTAAAGTGAGAGTGTTTCATGGTAATGGCTTCAAGTGCTGTGTTCTACAGACACTCAGAGCCAGAGCTGTGATCCAGGCGCAGAATAAGACTAAATTTAGACTGTCGAGAGTAAAAGACACCAAATTTCTAAGTACATTAACTGACTACTCGTTTGTAGCTCCATATTATAGCTCAGAAGAAAGAAACGAAATAGAGCAAAGAAAGCAAAAAGAAATCTGAGGACCACACAAACAACAGCCTCATTTTCATTGTGTAAATATTTCTCGATGAATGGACCCCTAATAATGGAATAACTTACAAATGTCCAAAGTTTGTAGACACCTGCTTCTCCTAGCTTTCTTCTGAAATGAAGGACATTAATAGTGAGTTTGTGCCCCTTTTCTGCAGTAACAGCCTCTACTCTTCTGGGAAGGCTTTGCATTAGATGTTGGAACAGCCCAGTGCTGGGGGGCTTTATACCCCTCTAGCCCATGCTTGGCATTGGGCATGATGACCTTAGGCTCATGTTTTTCTGTGGAGATTGTAGAAGTTGTGTGAACATGTCAGCAGTTGGTGCAAGTGAAAGTATCTGAATTCACTCATTACAGTGGCTGTCTGGATACTTCTGGACACATAGTGTCTTGGCATTAACATACATTAAAGTTAAGGACTTTTTTTATGCGTCTCGTATTAGGTTACCATCTCAGAGATGCAAGGTTTAGTTACTATATCTGTTTTTTAAAGCTATATATATAAAGCTATATATATATATACGTTTTGGGGATTTGGGGACCTCTCTGGTGGAAATATGTAATTGCACCCAAGAACATATTATGGGTTCTGCCTGTCATTGCAAGTGAATTGAATTGAAGAGAATTCAAAGAGAACTCAGTCAAAACTTGGTGAAGGACGCATCTTCTGAAGATGAGTGAGTGGATTATCTACTATTCTCATCACATCTTCATCAGTATACAGTTAATTTTGCATTCGAGACCTAAACATCAAGCTGGACCTGCTTGATGAATCTGTGTGTGTGACATTCATACATAAAGGCTCTGTTCACATTACCAGGCTGAAGTGGCACAAATCCGATTTTTTGCCCTAATGTGACTCAGATCTGATGTTTTCAGAGCTGTGTGGACACAAATCTGATCTTTTCAAATCCGACCTGAGCCACTTTGGCTATGTTCACGTTACAGTCTGATCTCTCTGACAGGATGGTTCACACTCGTTTAGGTAAGTGACTCAAATCTGTCATTAATGTGACGAACCGCCGTCCTGAAATGACACATCCTACTCAGTAACGTCACGTGAATGAATCACTGCATCATCAGCACAAACTAACGAGCAGAACGAGCTTCGCTGAGAAGATAATTAACTCTGATCAGCTCTCAGCTTCATTATTAGAGCGAGACGAAGGAGAAAAAGGTGAGATGATCTGCTTTTCCACCGTTTACAGGCTTTAACTTCTGCTCAGCGCTGCTGCCATGGTAACGCTGAATGATGGCGCAGTGGAGAAAAAGCACATGAATTTCGATCTGAGCGTCACATTAAGGTCGCATGAAAGTGACTCAGGTCGGATTTGAAAAGATCAGATTTGTGTCCACACAGCCCTGAAAACATCAGATCTGAGTCATATCAGGGCAAAAAATCAGATTTGTGCCACTTCAGCCTGGTAATGTGAACGTAACCTTTAATTTGTGGTCCTAGATCGGATACGTATCCGATTTGTGGCCATGTGACCTTAATGTGATGCTCAGAATGGAATTCATGTGCTTTTTTCCTCTGTGCGTGCGCCATCATTCAGCGTTACCATGGCAACAGCGCCGAACAGAAGTTAAAGCCTGTAAACGGTGGAAAAGCAGCTCATCTCACCTTTTTCTCCTTCGTCTCGCTCTAATAATGAAGCTGAGAGCTGATCAGAGTTAATTATCTTCTCAGCGAAGCTCGTTCTGCTCGTTAGTTTGTTTTCTGATGATGCAGTGATTCATTCACGTGACGTTACTGAGTAGGATGAGCTCATGAGGGTCATTTCAGGACACCAGTTCGTTCATTGATGACAGATTTTAATCACTCACCTAAATGAGTGTGAACCGTCGAGTCAGAGAGATCGGATTTGAGCAATGAGGCTTGTAATGTAAACGTAGTCAGAGATGCACGATGTGGTCTGAAAATTCAAACACTTCTGCCTTTAAAATGATCATTTCAGGCTTTACAGGGTGACTTGGAGCAGCACCCACACCCCATTTTGACCTGTTTTTATTCTCCTGCCTCACTATTGCTGCTTTTTTTTTTAGCAAAAAAAATCTTCCATGGTGCCCCTTTAAGAAAAATAGTGATGTAATACAAATAAACCCTTGCCCCCAAGCCTTTTTCTCCATTTCTTGAACCTGCTGATCTCTATTCAAAGCCCAGCTATTGAAATGTGAGGTCTCTTTCTGTAGAATGGAAGGACTGTAGTGTTTTTCTGGACCTCATACGCCTCTGGCCAGTGCTGCAGCCCCAGCTACCCCACGCAGGCGCTGCTAAAAATGTCAAAAAAATGTTACCTCGGTGTTTGGCCTGCTGTTCTGTTTTTATCCCCCCCTTCTCTCACACTTTTAGAGTGGTCTTCTCTGTAAGACCACAGGAAGCCTTTTAAAATCTCAAAGCTTAAAGCACGTGGCAAACCCCTGGCTGCCTGTGATTCAGAGGCATCTGAATAAAAAAGAAACTTTTCCTTTCCTCCTGCCTGCGGAGGGCAGCCCGCAGGTCACTAAGAGATGTCGGCTGCTTTTTATAACCGTCTGCTTGGGCATAATAACTCATGAATCATGCTGAGCTGTGGCATTTCTAAACCTCGCTCAGGTTCATTCACTTCATATTCCAGTGTTAAAGTTTATGGTGAGACGGGCGGTAAATGTTTTCAGTGCAGTGCCAGTGTCACATAACTGATACTGCGTTCACCAGGGCCGTCACGATTGCTCGATTAAACTTGGTCACCAATTAAAATGTACTCTCTCAATAAACTGAGCGATAAGCTGTGATCTTGGACGAATTATCACGTACCAGATACCAGAATGATCACAATAAACATACCATCGTGATCCAAATTCAGACTGGTGTATGTAAATGAGCTCTGTTCTGATTGGCTGCCCTGTATTGCGCCTCATTCGACAAAGCAGTCCAGGTCGTAACACTGTTTCAGTGCGAATGGGCGGAGCTAAACTGCTGTAGGCGGGACAGGGGTGTATATAGGTCAGTGAATTTAAAACAGTCTGTTTTAACATCATAGTTTCCATATATGGACTATAACAATGTTTGCATGCTACATTAAAGAAGTAGGGAAGCGTGTAACCCTGTAACATTCAGCATGTAACACTTAATATTCAGTGGTTCGCCACTTCCCTTTGGTCAGAAACCAAAATATTACCGAATTACTAAATAATTCATAGTAGCTACTGAATAATAAGCCTTAACGATTGAATAGTAAGCCTGAAGGTTAAGTTAATGGCAACTTTGCCATTTATCACATAAAGTAGTTGCTGCCTATTCTCATCTGTGCTTGTTATTTTGGCCTGTTTTCTATGACTTTCTCATGTGCAGAAATACATTGTGCTCTGTTGTTCCTCAGACTCCTGGATGTTGGAGTGAAGAAACAGGCGAAGGAGAGCTGAGGAGCACACACCAGCGCTCGGCGTCTTGGGGCAGCGCCGACCAGCTAAAAGAGGTACAGATGTCCACTAGAGATGAAACGATATTAAAATTTCGTATCACGACTATCATGACCAAAATTATCACGATTATCGGTATTATCGCGATATTGTTCAAATGTGTTGAAAAGTAAAGTAAATAAATAAATAAATACTGATACCCAAACTGAAACTTGTTTCACCAACTTTTATATTAACACAAATAGAATTGGCAGCAGTATGCACTTTTTTGTTTGCATAAACATTAAAAAAATATAGTCAATACATTTGTATTACTTACAATACTTGTAATACTCTGTAAACAAAAGAATAGCAAATGTATTATTTTTATTACTGTTATTATCATTATTACTATTACTGTTATTAGTATTAATAAAAATATTATTATTATTAAATTACAATTACTAGTGATTTCCCTGCATAAAGAATTAAATCTCGACCAACTCTGAGGTGGGTCTTAATGGAAAATGACTACTTCTAAGACGTGCTGCACTCGGGGGGTTTCTGTCCGAACTGCAGCTGCAGCATTATTGTGCCGTTGTGGCGCTGAACCCCTAATCAATACAGCGCACCAGGAAAAACAGCCAAAATCACAGAGGAGTTCCGTGACCGCGCTGTGAGCTGCAGACAGTGTAGAACTCACACAGTGTGTCTCCACCTGTGGAGCTGCTTCTCTAAAAGCATTTAAAACTAAAACATAACTTAAAACTAACGCGCATCTGAGCTGCGGCAGAAACACTCCTACAGTTTAATCTCTGAAACTCTGCTTTTCCTAAAAGCAGCACGCAGCGTTTACTTGCGCGAGGTCCCGTCCCAAAGCACACTATCTTCCCTACGTAGTGCACTTCGTAGATCATGAAATAGCAAATCCTTCACCCAAAGAGTGCAGGAAATGTTCACAATAACAATATATTAACAACAGGTTACAAATTCCCTATTTAAAGCTCAGCTGCTTGTTAATGATGATCGTGTTTGTTTGAACAGTAGCGCCCTACGTAGGGGACATTGAGTGACTTCTCAGACAGTAAACACTGCAAGCGAGGCGAGAAAGCGGAGCTGTGCAGATTGAACTTCTGCAGCGTCTCGTTCCAGAGCGTGTGACTGTTAACTCAGAGCTCATTTTGGAGACTCTGCTCCACAGAAATGTGTTAAAAGCTTTAGTTTCGATTCACAGCTGATTCACCGATTGTTTTTCTTTTTTTTCTTTGACGCTAAAAGCTTCATTTTATATTGTTAACGAACCATAAGCACAAGTTAAACCACACAGACCACGACATTTCTCCCCCACAGACTTCTATGTTAAAGTTAACCTTGCATTCTCTAAAAAGTAGCGGGTGGTGGTCGCGAAGATGACTCGTAAGGTTGGATGTGTTGCCCCCTTTCGCCGCTATTTTCTTTCGGCCTGTTCTGCAGACAGGGTGGTCATCTTCAGACAGGGTGGTCATCTTCAATTAACTTTCCTTCTGCATTCTTATAAAACCCAAAACATGACCAAACGTCAGACTTGGTCTTCTTAGAAGGCTGAAATATCTCCGAATCTCTGTCACTACATTCCAACATGTTCTCCCTTCTCTCCCTCTCCCTCTCTCTCTCTCCCTCTCTCTCCCCCTCTCCCTCCCCCTTCCCCTCTACACACACACAGAGCTGCGTCTGTGAGATGATTCGCCTTTGTTTGACTCTGTACAGCGAGTTTTTCACACCGCGGTAATTGACCTGCGGTTTTAACGATACTTTAAAGTTCAAACGGTACTACTGACCGTCATTAATGTTACCGCGGTTTACAGTGAAATCATTGTTTGTATTATTTTGATTTGATTTTGATACACTGGCCACTTTTTAGTTTTAGGTAGACTTTTCAGTCCTTTCCTCAGAGCTTTTTAGCTCTATACTCCTCAGTCTCTTGCTGCTGCTGCTCGTCCCTCTGTCTTTCTCTCTGTTCTCTTTCTGCTCTTTTTAAAAGGCTTTTTTGAGCATCTGAGCAGAGTGAGAATGAGAGGTCATTCCTCCCAGTCACCGCCTCCGCTCCACAGCTCGTTCGGCTGGACTGAACATGAGGTGCAGTGAAGCAGCCTCACTGGGTTATCAGTTTTTTGAATAATCAGTTATCTGATCATGTAAACAACATACTCTGACGCAGTCGTGGGCTGGAGGTTAGGGAATCAGCCTTGTGACCGGAAGGTCGCCGGTTTGATCCCCATCAGCTGACAGTACGTGACTGAAGTGCCCCTGAGCAAGGCACCTAACCCCCATCCGCTCCCCGGGCGCCGTGGATAGGGCTGCCCACCGCTCCGGGCAAGTGTGCTCACTGCCCCCTAGTGTGTGTGTGTGTTCACTAGTGTGTATGTGGTGTTTCACTGCACGGATGGGTTAAATGCGGAGGTCTAGTTCCGATGTGTTCAGACAGTTGGCTAAAAGGTTTGATTCATTCATTCATGTAAACTCTTATTCTGATTTCTTTCGGATTTCTAAGTCTGAGCATGTGTGAAAACGGCGGTACTGGAAATAAGCGAGCAGCAAAACACTTTTGGAGCGACACTGAAATAAAATACACGCTTGACGAAATTAAGGATTTAAATATTCTTCATCTTCTAGATGATATATGTTCATGTTTTCAGGTAAAGTGGTGCAGTGTTGGGGGGTTTTTTTTTCACGGCATTAAGTTTGAGTTTTACAATACGTTTACGTTGCATCATCTTCTGTGAGCTTATTGGCTGATCACAAAGGAGAAATCTGATTACTGTGTGGCTCATGTAGACCCGGAGAGTCCCCTTTATCTGATTACTCAAGTGCATGTAAACGTGTTGATTACTGACAAAATCTGATTTTCTGCAATTATTATTATTAAGTGCATGTAAAGGCACTCATTGTTGTGGGGAGTTTGACTTGGGAAGCGCCAGTTCTTTTCTGACACTGCAAAGCAAAACAGCACACACAAGTTAATCTGTCCACATACAGCATGTAAAGTACTATGCAAAAGTCAGAGACCACACTTTATCGCTTCCAATTAAAACAGCCGTTAAGTATTAAGTTATTCATTTTTTAGGAGATACTTCTGAGAAGATTAGATATAAGAATAAGATAATCTAGGAAGGAGAACGGCAAAAGAAAATAAACAAAAAAAAAAAGAAGTTTCTAAAATTGGATATAAAATATTAAAAAAAAAATATTTAAAGCTACAGAGAAAATGAGGCTCCTAACAGCCACCTGGAAGACCTGGTAGACACCAAAACTGCCCCCATCAGATAAACAGCACTTAAAGCTTTCATCTCTGAGAGAGAGGAGAAAATCAAGCTGCTTCAGATCTGAAAACATCCACAGGTGTTTCTGTCCATCCTTCCACTGTGAGAAGACGACTCAGCGCTGTGGGTCTGAAAGGATGTGTAGCTGATCAAGAAGAACCTCACTGAGAAAAGGAGACGGACACATCAAACAAAGAAGCTGAACGATGGACTGACCACCCCAGAGTCCAGACCTCAGCATCACTGAATGGGTTTGATTACTTCAGAAAAGGATCAACCAGCTTCTAAGACTGAACTTTGGAGGTGTGGAAAAACATCCCTGCTGATTTCTTCAGAGCACATTTAGCTGTTGAGGCTTCTGTGTAATTTTTATGTATGTTGTCTCGTAACACTGAAAAATGGATAACGTACTGTGGCTGTGTGGGCTGTAAATGAATAAATAAAGCCTGGTCTAACTTTTGCCCAGTGCTGTATTTCACCTTTTGTAGCTCATGCAAGGTGCGAAATGGGTACCACATCTGCAAACGTGTATGTGTGGTAAGCTCTTTGTCTGTGGTCATCCTTCCTGCTGCTATTCATGGACTTCATACTGTCACAAAAAAAGCTGAGAACAGCATTTTTCGCTCTGTAATGATCTCATCTTGTGCAGGGCTGGATTTAGCTGCTCATATGTAGAGCTGTCAGCCTCGGCGAGAGAGCGCGAGAAGGTCAGATATAAAACCCTTTTACCCAGACCCATCCTCTCTCTCTCTCCGTCTCTCTCCGTCTCTCTCTCTCTTTCTCTACCCGCTGCTATATATAACTTCCTGTGTGGCCTCAGACTTCCTGCGATGCTAGCATTATGCTAGCGTAGCGTTAGCCGCACCGGCAACAGCTTTATCACGGGCTCTCAGCCCCACCCGGCCTGCTCAGCGAGCGAGGAGATAAGCCAATCTGCCCCATAACAACCCACTTCCTCTTTGAACCCCCCCACCACACACACAACTTATGGCCTACTCTTTCTCTGCTCCTCCAGACCCCCAAACAGTAAAGACCCTGTGAGTTTAAAGGGGCATTACACCAGTTTTTCCAAATTTCTGCATAATTAGGTCATTGAGATGTAAAAAAAAAAGCCATTCAAAGTGGTTTGATTTGAAATGGTTCGCTGTAGAGAGACCACCTGTGAACTATGTGTCTATAGGAGTTTTTATGTGTAATGTTGATGATGGTAAAATAGGGATATCTATCTAATGAATTTCTGTGGGGACTATGTTGCCTCACAAAGCCTTGCATGTACTTCCCCACCATGAAAGGTTTTACAAAAAATATATTTTAGGCCAAAACCTTCTGAAATCTGCTGTAGAACAGCATCTCAGGCCCCAGGCAGTGAATTCATAACCATTTCATGTAGTAACTTTCTGTTAGGGAGCTTTTAGAGGTGGACGTCTGGTTCCCATCACCACCACTGTGAGCAATTCTGACTCAGTCTCTCTAGAAACATCAAATGAATGACTTTATTTACATCCTAATCTTGAATAATGCAGACATCTTGAACAATCAGTGGAATTCCCTTTTAAAGGTTGAGCAATAACGTGTCCACTGAACGGTCCGTATGCGCTTATATGTGAGCATGAGTGAAGCTGACTCTGTAGTATAGAGTCATTCTGAGTACTGCAGTCTGGTTGGGTTTGATTCTAGTGGGGTGGGAATCTCTAGGCACGATTTGATTTCTATTAAGGTGCCAAGATGCGAATCTTAAATGTTTTCCGGATGCATCTTGTACAGTCTGTGTTATGGTT